GTTTAACTCTGTGAAAGATGGCTCATTTCTTAAAATGCTGCAGAAAGTCTCAGTCTTGGAGTTAGAGGATAACATACTGTCAAGTAGATAGATTAACTGTGTCTGCTCTAACCACAGTGTATTATAAAGACTCATTGAAGACATCATTTGGGAACTTAACATTGCCTGGGACATAGGTGGAAGGCTTCCTGTTAGGATCTTCTATCAGTAGCATTACAGATAACATGATTGTTTGTATAGGACTGGTTCAAAAAGAGGTCTACAGATGCCAGATGCTTGATGGAGCTAATGAAGCCATCCAAGATTCAAGAGTAGGGTGGGTAGAGAGGAAACTAGAAAAACGCTGGGGCCTTATTATTACAGTCATGTCAACTATAGCTTTAAATTATCACACAGAGTTTTCATGCTATCAGCTTTGCCAGCTTAAATAGGAACCATGCAGTTTGATGTCATCTTCTCTAACTCTTGGTTAAGATGTGGGGGAACCCATGGCATGGAAAATCTCAATGAAGAGATGAGTTCTGATATCCCTCTTGTTATCTGAACATTACTATTCTCTAAGAAAAACCAGATCCAATACATCTTACCTCACAATATAAAATAATACAAATTTGGGAGTTAGAAGGTGTGAGTCAAAGAATGGCATTTCAATGGGAAGGTGTGGTGTTACTTGCAAAGGCAAGAGTAAGTATGCCAGTGTGATACCATGAGCACATAATATAGGCTTTTTCGGAGATTCACAAATGCCTTTGAGATGATTTGATGAGGAGAGGTCCCCATTTGGTGAGTAAATAGACTGCAGCTCAGATAAGTGAAGTGACTCGCTCTGCACTGGCAGTCAGTCAGAGGAAGCCCACATCCGCCAGCACTTTTTTGCCCGTTTCCACAACACCAGACATCTAGTCTATAGGGTCTTGTGCTCAATTAATGGCATCATGAAAAACAGTTTGAGCCATTGTTCCTTCATTATAAAAATATTTTGTAAGACATTTATATTTATTAAAAATCTGTCATAGGTTAAATAAAACCATATATATGTTCATGACATAATATGCTATTAATTAAATAGTCATCCTAGATTATAATGAAAACATGCCAGCCTAATTAAATAAGAAAGCAGAAGGAGGGAAGAACACATAAAATTATGGCAATCTTCTATAAAGATTTGAATATGAATTTACCATAAAATAAATGGATGACTCTACAAGTAACAATGATATTTCCTGTATGACATGTGCATGACTAAAAAAGAGAAATTCTCATATAACAGGGTGTTCAAAGTACATAGGTGCTGATGTGTGCATGGGAACAAAGCACAAGCATGCAGCTTGCCAACAATCTGGTTCCAAATCTTTTGTAACAAGCTTATTTTCAGAGGGATATTCTAAATTAAGCATTCTTAAGGCTGTGCACAGAACCATATTTAATCCATATGTAATTGGATTATGACAGCAAGAACTTTATGGAGTCTAAGTGTCATTTAAATCATTGCTGCTCAAGCATGAATGTCAGGCAAACTCGAGAAGCCAGAGATGGGTCTTTTTCCTAAGCACCAATCCTCCTGACATTTTCTGCTTGATCTCTTTTCCCCATACCTTCCTGGAAGCCTTGACTCCCAGCAGACACTGGTGACTAGTTCGATTCTGTACTAGCAAAGAGCAAGGAACAGGACTCTCTCCTATTTTTGCCCTGGCAGCAGGTGCAGAGATGGTCAGCAGTGACAGGAAGCTCTGGTGAGAGAAGCAAATGGGGCAGGGCAGAGGATATCGGGGTAGCAGCTGAGGAGTGGCAAGAGGGGAATGAATGATAGTGGCGCCAGTGGAAAAAGGCAATGGGCCATAGACAGACAATTGGAAGTTAATTCTTGAGTCAAAAAGGCATAAATATTCTTACAAACATCCCATCTTGTTTCTTGAGCACAGTTCTGAATTAAGTAACAGTAGCTACTGACCAAAGTATAGTTGTATGTAGCCCGAGGATTTGCCACCCTGAACTCGAAAGCTCCTTACCACCAGCTACTACCCAGTGCAAGCCACTGTCTTCTATTCCCAGGACCAGGAGAAACTGCTGTAGTTTCCCAGCTTGTCTGTCATTGATTCTTTTCTCCTGCTCCTTCCATACACACATCCCACCCCTTACATCACGCACAAGTAGAGAAGCCAGAGTGGTCTTTCTAAATCCAAGCATGCCACTCCCTTGGAACTGTCCAACAACTGTCAATTATCCATGGTTTAAAATCCAATTCATTAGGTGGGGACTGTTAGCTAATAGCACCTTTGATACTATTATCTGTCTCTCTCCTCTGCTTCTGTATTCCAACCACAGCTTTGGCTCCTGTCTTCAAGCTCATTACACTCATTAGCTCCTCGACCTGGGATACTCTTCAACAAAATCTTCTGCATGGTTCATCATATTCCAGCCTCTGCGCAAAAGTCACTTCCTTCCAACTACACATAGGGGTGCCTCCCATATTACTTTCCACTTTATTGCCCCATTTCCTTCAGAGCACTTAATATCTGATATTATTTAACTAGACTATTTAGTTACAGACAAATACAGAGCCACGATCTTCTTTCTTGAAATTATCTAAATGAAGAAAACGACTCTTTCCCAGAGTTTCTTCATTTAAATCATTCCATTTTATTTCAAGGGTCATTCCCACTCTCTTCTGCTCCCCATCCCAAGCCATACCTTTAATAAAAATGCTCAGTTAGTTAATATTACAACTGAACACTCTTATTTTCTATTTGTTGTAATTGAGAGCACATGAGTGCACGTCAGCAGCAGTGATTTTGTAAAAGTTATCGCAAGTCTTTAGAGGAGCAAGGAGGCCAATGGTAACCATGAACTCCCCACTTCCTTCTCCACAGGGCCTCTTCCTTCTCCAGAGGAGCATCATGTACCTTCTGAAAGACTTCACATCAGGACCCTCACAGCCAGAAAAGCCATACTCCAACAGCAGTCACATGAGTGTGACTTCACAGATCCTGGTGCCAACATCCAGGAACAGGTCAATGTTGAGATGCCAGGACACCATCTTCATAAATTCTCCATGAATGAGGTTGATTTGCACAACCCCAGGTACCTCTGAGATTCCTGCCTTCATTTGTGGAGTCAAACAGCCTGCATTCAAATTTCTGCTTTGCCACAAACTAGCAATGTGAACTTCGGAAGCGAATTAGCCTCACCACCACCAACTGTTCCTCAACAAGGGAATTTGAGTCCAGTAGAAATGGTTTTTGAAAAAGTTATTTTTCAATTTTTTCTTCTGAAAAATAGAGATTACAAGCGTACTGATTCTCAAGGTTGTAATATGGGTAAATACCAGCCACGACTATCATGATTCCTCAGTAAAATCTTTTGTTTGCCCTTGTGTAACTGAAAAAGATCCAAAATTGGTATGCTTTTAAATGTACATAAATGTATAAATTCTTGAAAGGAAAACTGTATTTAAGAAGATATTTTACAGCAACTACACAGCAAAGAAGACAACTGATTTTATTTCTAAGGAAGTATCTGAGAGCTTCTCAACTGCTGGTATTCCAAACCAGAGCCTCCCACAGGAAAGACAACAGTATCGAAGTAGCCAGTTCAGGAAAGAAACCATTGCTAATCCTCAGTCTCACACACACACCACGTCCACTTTTGACTTAGGTCAGTGACAAAACATTTAAATGAGCTTTTGAATAGCAATTTTGTTTGAATATTTCCATAGAATTTTATTTCCCTTACTGCAGAAAATTTAGTGGCAATTTAACAATTATCCAATTTTTTTAACACAATACTGCACATTAAAACACTTTGGAAATGGAAAGAACTATAAAAGACATGAAACTTTTCCCCCAAGAAATGACAAAGGTACTTAGCAATGCTTGATATTCTTTTTGCTATCAAGCCAAGATAGAAAGGACTTTTAACTCTGAAATGCATGCACTCCATAGCCACATAAAATTGAGATAATCTCACATGCTTTTGCAATCACAGAGTACTCTTACCTAATATTTGCATGCTCAGTCAGACTACAGCTATTAAAATTACAGATACATAGTTTAATTTCTATCTATGCCTTCCCAAGTTCAGCTGCATCATTTTATAGAATTTTAATAGCTCTTTAAGACCAAAATGATCTATTTTGGCACTTCTTCAGCAATCGGATATAAATGAATAGTAAGTCATGGGACGAAACTTAACATGAGCATAACACTGTAATTATTGCAAATCATATTTTTTACTTAGATATACATTCTCGATAAAAATTTACTAAAGATTTAGGACTCACTTGAATGCCAGTGTTGTGGACATTCTCACAAGCCTTTCATTTGACACAAACGTCACAGAAACAATTTAATTTCACTCTTGAGATGCTCTATTACCTTGGAATTTTTTCAACACATTATTTAATAAAAATCACTTTAATTATGCCAGTAAATTGACATTATTATAAAGAAGAACATTTCCAATCACTGACCCCAACTGCATTTCTTCAAGTAAGCAAATATATGACCACACCAAAGAAATAAAAATGAAAAGATACCTGAGAGGAATACAAGGATACTTCATAAAGTTTATGGTAAAGTCCAGTTCCAAGATAAATTGATTTTGGAACCAAAAAATGAAATTCTATGCATATTTTTCACAATAAGTTTTTCATAAATTTCTTAAAGACCCCTCATATGCATAGATTTCAAAAAAGTTTTATACCAGAATAAAGTTACCTTACAATTCAATTTTTAATTCAATTTTCTACAAACTTTTGAAGTTCACTTGTGTAGTAAAATTAAAAATCTGTGAAGACATGTTATATTACCATCTCACAATTTTTGCTTTGTAAATTTAATCCTATTCTGTAATAAGTTATTAAAAAAAAAAACTCTAAAGAAAAAGACAATGCGTCTTTAAACAAACGTTCCAAGCTAAATCTTATAGAAAGAGAAACACTAGGGCCTTGAAATTGCATATCACAATAATATCAACTCAAGTTGTCACCATGTGTGGCTTACCTCGTCGTCTTTATACCAGGACAAGCTTTCGGCCGTAAGGACGAACCAGTATCCCTTGGAGCCTCCTTTCATGATGCCAATGTTGCTGATGGTGAGCCACCCCTTGCGAATCACCTACAAAAGAGCAGACATCAGCAGAGGTGCTTAGTGCAACAGCAGCCAACGAAGACTAAAGGTCTTGGGCTAAGTTAAAAACAAGATATAAATTGCAATAAAAATAGCATTGTTCCCTGAAGCTCAACCTCACTGAGCCATTCAAGAGAATTTATCTTCCCAAAGTACAGATGACCGGAGGACAGTCTCTTCCATTAGTGAATGAAGTAAAAATCTCGGGCTCATATGTATGGTGGAAGCATAGTGACTGAAACAGAGAGGAATGAAATGAGGCAGCCCAATACTGTGCCAGGCCTATTTATGGCATTGCTGCCACAATTAAAACATGTTTATTTGCTTGGATGACAATAAGCTCTCCATGCCACTGCCTCTTCTCTTCCAGCCTACTTGCCCATTTGTTTGCCTGGTTCGCAGCTCATTACAGTTTTCAGCAGAGACTGGCCAGCAAATGGTGAAAAGAAAAAACTCAAGCCAACCAATTAGCTCCTTGTTAACAGCCTTGAATAAGGCTGATTGAGAGAGAAAGCTGAAATAATAAACTAAAATGAAAAGTTTGAGGTTTTTAAAATTGTGTTGATTTATCCATCTACTTCTGATTGTTATTTGCCATACTAGAAAACATGCAGCATCTTCATAAAAACCTTTATTAGCTTTAAAATTTTTAAACATAAACAACTTGGATTACAGATTTGACAGAAATTATTTATAAATGGCATTTAAGAGAAAATGTAATTTTTTTCTCACAGTTGTAAAGTTACATTCTGTTTCCCATATGGCATACTTTACCATGTCTTCCATGCTAGATAATTTTGTTGTCATAGAGTGAGATGTGAAACACTATATGGAATTGTATGATATTGTTCTAAAAGTCAAAAACTGTCATATAACAAAATCACACAATATCCTAGAGAACCTAAAATATTTTTAAATATTACTTATTGAAAAACTAATGAGTGCTAGGTCAAAGAAAGATGAAATAACCTAATAATCAGATTTCATTTTTATTTTGCTACTAAGTTTTCTAGTAGAGGAGGAAGGTCAACCCTGGAGAAAATTATGAAATGAGTCAAAATTCTTATTATTGATCTTCCCAGGCCCTCTCCACATTTGCACTCCCTGTCACCTCGATTCTCTGTCTACTGCAGCATTTTTCAGGTGCCCATTCTTCCCGTAGGGTTCTGTTGCTTTTACAGAACCCCACAGAGCATCCTTCTCAGCTCCAGACTCAGGCAACTTTTTCTAATGTTCAGAATTATCTTTTTCTTTTTACCTTCTGCTTTAGAAAAGAGGAAACACCATTTCTCAAAGTATGGCTCCTAACAACTATATTAAAATTATTAGAATGCTTTCTAAAAGTAGAGATTCTTGGGCCACCTACCAATTCAAATGAATCAGAATGTATACATATTAAACTCAGAAACGCACATTTTAACAAGCTCACAAGGTGACATTTATTCATATTGAAATTTGAAGATCATCGCATGTACACATACAATCAAAATTTCATTTTCCTTAGAGAAAATGATCGAATCTAGTTGTTAGTAAGAAGTATCTGGTTAAATTATTTCACACTGGGTGCAAACTGATGAAATCTTTACTTAATATATACTGAATCGATCTTCTGTATATAAAGATAATTGAAAATAAATCTTGATGTGAATGGAATGGGAGAGGGAGCGGGAGATGGGAGGGGTGCGAGTGGGAAGGAATTTATGGGGGGGAGGGAGCCAATGTAATCCATAAACTGTACTTTGGAAATTTATATTCACTAAAAAAAGAAGAAAGAAAAAAATTATTTCACACTAAGATCATTATCTATCCTAATAGGGCTTAAAAACAATATATCAATCATAGTACTCCATCAAAGCATACAACAGGTTGAGGATCCCTTATCCAAAATTATTGGGAAAGTAGCGTTTTAGCGTGTTTCAGATTTTGGAATAAGAGCATATACTTCACTTGCTGAATATTGTTAATTTAAAAATCCAAAATCCAAAATGCTCCAAAATCTGAAACTTGTTGTGTGTCATTATTTCATTTCATTAGGTCTGTTTGGATAGAAAAGAAGTCTTCCAGATACTATGCAAATGGCATAAGCAAATCACCAGTTTGCCATAAACAGAATTATGAAATTTCACACAATGAATATTTCTTAAGACTCTACCATATGTAAAGATGAAAAAGATGTATTGACACCACAATCCCTTCCCTCTACAATCTTATAAAATAGGGCAGAAGGGGGCCTGGTGCTGTGGTTCAGCAGGTGGGGCCACCGCCTGCATTGCCTATGTTCAATGTGGGCACCAGTTTGGGACCTGGATGATCCACTTGCAATCCAGCTCTCTGCTGTGGCCTGGAAAGACAGTGGAGGATGACCCAAGTCCTTGGATCCCTGCACCCATATGGGAGACCTGGAGAAGGCTTCTGACTGCTGGCTCCTAGCTCCTGGCTCCTGGCTTCGGATAGGTGCAGCTCCGGCTGTTGCGGTCATTTGGGGAGTGAACCAGCGGATGGAAGACCCCCCTCTCTCTCTGCCTCTGCCTCTCTGCAGCTCTGACTTTCAAATAAATATATAAATCTTTAAAAAAAAATAGGGCAGAAGGCAGACTCATAGAGACATAATTTCAATATAACAGTATATTAACAGATGCACGCCAAGGAGGAGGAGGTACACTGGATGCAACTTAGGAAGTCTTAATAGACTGGTATCTCAGAAAGGCCTGAAGAGGATTAGAATGACGTGGGCTAAGGAGTGATTTATTTGCCTATTTTTTTTTTACTTGTTTTCCACAGATAAGGACAAATAAGAACAAAGTATGAAAGAACCACTTAGACTAAAAAATGTGAGGTGAGGATGAAGAAGTTGAGGCTGGAGAAAGATATGGGGTAAAGCTGGAGTGGATCCAGTTGAGTGACACCCTGAATTTCAATGTTCTCACTCCTGCAGCAGCACCAAAACTAAACTTTAAGTTCACACCCCTAATGCATGTATATTTATTTAAAAATTATATATATGTGCTTGCTTAGGCAGCACATATACTAAAATTATGTATATGATTATGTGTCAATAAATTATATATATCATATAGAAATAAAAATGGAAATTTGAACATATGACATAAAGATGAAATAAATAGTATTTTTTTTAATTTTGGGGGTAATTAGCTTTTAGTTTTAGGGCTTTTTTTTAATTTATTTTTTCTATTTGAAAGACAAAGTTACAGAGGGAGGTAGAGAGAGAGACCTTCCATCTGATGGTTCACTCCCCAAATGGCTGCAGTGCCGCAGCTGAGCCGATCCGGAGCCAGGAGCTTCTTCCGGGTCTCCTACGTGGGTGCAGGGGCTCAAACAATTGAGCCATCCCCTGCTGTTTTCCCAGGCACATTAGCAGGGAGTTGGATTGGAAGTGCAGCAGTCAGGACTCCAATTGGTGCCCATATGGGATGTTGGCACTGCAGGTAGGGGCTTTAACCCATTGTGCCAGATCGTCAGCCCCAGTATGTTTTTATTTTTTAAAATTTTGTGGGAGAAATGCATGTATGTCACTGGCAGTTAAAACTCTGAGCAAAACAGCAATGGCTCTCCATGGAATCCTGGGGAAATATAACACTTCAGAGGTAATCACAGAATAATCTGGAAGAAATGTCAGGGAAAGAAAAACCAACAAGGTCGTGAAAGCCAAAGGAAATGAATTTCCAGGATTGAGTGGTGGTAAAGATTGTCAAGATCAGCACAGCAAAGGACATTAAAGAACAGTGCTGAGAGTCACGGCGTCTTCAGCTATGCCATTTCCAGTGTGGTGGTGGTGGAGTGAGGAGTTAAGAGTTCACGGGCTTGAAAAGTGAACGAGAAGAGACAGTCACTGAAGAGAGGGTGGCAAGAGAGTTAAACACTGACTAGGGAACAGACTCAAAGGAAGTGGTTATGGTTGGTTGTGTTCAGTTTTCAGGAGAAGGTGGGGTTGGAGAGTTTTTGTATGGGCAACAATTGAGTTCAAGAGGGGGCTTCAGAAAGTTTATAGAAAACAGAATTAAAATATTAGTTCATTTGGGTGGAAAAAATTTTTGACATCTTTTTCATTACATACACTTTCATGAATTTTTTGAAAACTTCTCACATTTATGATTTGAGAGGAATTAAACAGCACAGAGTAAGGGGTTAGTGGTACAGACAAGATAATAGAGGGACAAGGAAGATGGCAGCAGGTGCGAAGAAGAGCCCAGGGAAGGAGCAGGCTTGAACAGGAATAGCTGCCTGATCCTAGGAGCTGGAGGGAGTTGGGAGGGTAAGGACAGACATGTGATGAGGAAAAGTGTGGGAAGAAGGTGATCTTTGATCTCCTGCTAAAAGAGAAAAGACTAGAGTATCCGCAGGAAAGTGAGGAGGTGAGATTAGGAAGGATTGAAGATAGGATACAGTATTGAAATAGAACTATTGAACTCAACTAGAATTACAAAAAAAGGTCAAAAGCAGAGAATGAACATAAAAAACCTGCAGGAACAAAATCAGTACAGCTGCATTATATTTTCCAGGAAGACTCTGCATACTTGATACACAAAAGAAGAAGATAATTGGGACTTAATCCAGGGTTCTAAGTTCCAGGACTCAAGTGACCTAATTACCTGGGTGAAAAGATGATGAAGGGTTGGGGCAAGAGGGTAATTCAATCTATGCCAAGCAAAGAAATAAGGTCAGGCAACTCTAATAGAGAGGTAGAAAATGAAAGTATAACAGGAACTAGAGTGATTAAAAAGTTGTGGGGGGGTGGGGGAAGCAGATACTATGCCAGTACAGGCAAAAATTGAGTTTTCAGAGTTTAAGATGACATGAAGAAAAAAATTGCCTGACTTTATTGGTTCCATTAGATTCATCTCTCAAAGATGCACCACTGTTTTAGATGCATTTAATGTTTTAGCTGGAAAAGACATTTATTAAACATCACTTAGTCCAGTAGATATAGTAATTTGGGCTATATGAGTACTATGTTAAAAATAACAATT